CCCCCCCCCCCCATGAAAAATCAAATGGTCCGTCCCTTACATTATAGATAGCTTAAAATCTACGACGTCAGCTAGGACGTCAGGACTAAGCCTAGCAGAGAACTGGGACTAGGACGTCGTCCAAAATAAGTAGATAAGTCAAGTATCTACGACGTGAAATATTTAGGGCGGCGAGTTTTTGAAGTGTGTATGTGTCTCTCTCAATTTACTCTGCGTCCACCAGACGTCGACAACCTCACAACAAGAGTTTTAACGTCGTAAATACAAGAGCGTAATAAACGGTAATGGTTCACACGTCTCTTTGAAATTCATTTTCAAAAGGATCTAAGGGACCGGTCATTATTTATGACAGGGGGTGGCACCGAAGAGAAAAGGGTTGGGTAAACAAAATTTTGAGTGAGTAAAAGGTTGGGTAAATGAAAAACAAAACAACTCAAGGGTTGGGTAATCCAAAAACTTATTGTCATTTCCAAAGAATGACTCACTGAAATATTGGAGACTGAAAAGCAATGTCAACAGTGATATGTCAATACAATATGTGAATCAATCAGAGTCACTATCTTGATCATTTCAGTCCGATTTGTTGCAGACAACATGAAACTTTAGAAAATTTCACAAGCCGTTATCAAACTCATGTCACAAAAATGGTAAAGGACACGTGTGACAACTGAATGGTTTTCAATTTGTAAAGTTTTTGGCCAGGGGTGGGTATTTATTTTTTAATTGATATTTGAGGTTGGGTAATCAAATTTTTGACTTTTTAATGGTTGGGTCAGCAAAATTTTTGCCACAAAAAACATTTCTCTTCGGTGCCACCCCCCACCAATATTTATTGTTTAAATGTCGACGTCGTGAATCTTAAGTGGAAGTTTATTTATTTAGGACGACGTCCTAGTCCCAGTCCTCTGCTTAGCCCTGACGTCCTAGCTCACGTCGACGTCGTAGATCTTAAGCTATCTACAAGAAAATACATGCATGCAGAAACCCTCGCCTTGCTGTCAAAGCCATTGTATTTTCCGAACATGAAGTATCTAGAGTATTGTTATGGTAACACGATAATTTTTTAAGAATATTCTTACAAATCGCCTAAAAATATCACTTTTAATTACAAAATTATCAATTTCCCAACATAGATATGTTATTGTACGTAATATAAGCTTCAATTTAACCTTCAATTTAATTTTTTTTCCTTCAATTTCAAGGTAAAATTCAACCACAAACGCTTCGCAAAACGTTTTAACTAAAAATGTTCTTTATAACACTAAACTGCCTTTAATTAAATGGCTTTATCGATAAACTTTGAGTTTGCAATAAAATGATTTCAAATTCTCGCTTACAAATAACTTTGCTTTCTTTTTTATTTAAAAAATTCAATATAATAAAAAAGGGAAACAATATTAAAGATATACTGCAATTAATATATGCTGTCTTGTTTAATGGTTTCATATACGCAAAGCCCGTCGGGTTTTAAATCCATTATAAAATCAATATTTAAAACAAACTTACCTTCGTTAACGTCGGCTCCCTTCTTTTAGCCGATTCTTTCGCCCTTTCTTTATGAGAAAACTTTTGAAATTTACAAAATCTTGCAAAAATGCGAGCAAAAAATTCATCAATCATCAAATCAAGAAATATTTGCTATTTTGCTGTCGTCATGCAGTCGTTATAATGCAAACTTTAAACTGGACCAATCAGTGTCCGCTATTCATGACAGTCCGCCATATTTCTGAGATCAGTGAGGATGACCACCCATGAACGATGAACGGTGAGCCATGCGCCCGCGTTATTTGATGAACTTTAGACTTCCCCATAGATATAGGAGATCTAGATTGCTAATTACGCATACCTAGCGCAGGCGGGGCCTACATGATAAATCCAAGATGGCGGTACAACAGGGCAAAAAGACTATAGATTCTATTACGAAAATCAGGATTTTTGCATTTTTTGCCGTCGCGTTGTTTCGAAACTTATTCGGTCAAATTTTATGGTAAAGAGAAATTTACCGCGAAGATTTTGAGCATATATATAATTGGATTGGATGAAAACTCGCAAAATTATCCAGCGATACAAGTTCGTGTGAAATGGTCAGTTGGTCAGTTGGAGCGTTTTATTGCCAGAAATACTGTGCTATGTTAACATCTAGCCTTGTGAATGGTGTTTTATACTTGCATCTCTCATCATCATCTGCTCTGTCCTCATAATTATGAAAAATGAACTGTTATGTACCCCCCCCCCCTTGCTTGTTAGAGAAGTAAACTGATGAGAGCACTGGATGAGGGTCTATCATCTATGGTCTGTTATAATTTGCTTTTTATGCAAATAGTGAGCAAAAATTAAAGCAAAACTGTACAAGTTACATATATAGTACTATATCAGTACTATACACGAACTTTTATCCATGGATAATTTTGCGAGTTTTCATCCAATTCAATCATATATATGCTCAAAATCTTCGCGGTAAGTTTCTCTTTACCATAAAATTTGACCGAATAAGTTTCGAAACAATGCGACGGCAAAAAATGCAAAAATCCTGATTTTCGTAATAGAATTTATAGTCTTTTTGCCCTGTTGTACCGCCATCTTGGATTTATCATGTAGGCCCCGCCTGCGCTAGGTATGCGTTAGCAATCTAGATCTCCTATATCTATGGACTTCCTAATGCTTTCGTTTCTCCGGTGTAAAAAGCCGGGGGGAATTAGTATTCTCGCACGGCGCTTCGCCGTCGGCTCGGGGATTATTCGTCATGACAAAAGTTAGGGCCTGTTCATATGGGCAAAAGTTATCCCGGTTAACGAGAGAACTTTTCGACTAGCCAAATACTTTTGTTCTGTTCATATGGAGAAATATTATCCCACTTACCGGGAAAAATTTCCGGCTGTGACGTAGCACTGAACATCAATTGAATTGAAAAGTTGCTGACACGACAAAAAGTTATCCCGCTAAGCGGGAAAGTTGTGTTCATATGGGGAAAACATTATCCCGGTCACCGAGATCTCGCCTGTCAACAAGCGAGATCTCGGTACACGGGAAAACCTTTCGACTCATATGAACGCAATGTAACTTTTCATAATATTTTCGTAACAAGGCGAGATCTTGCGAGATCTTGCTCGTAAACTTGTCGAAAAGTTTTCTCGCTAACCGGGATAACTTCTGCCCATATGAACAGGCCCTAAGTTGGTAATTTTTACCTCCTACGCTTTGCGAACAAAAACAAACCCAACTTCCGAACGTTTCTTGTTTAAAATGCTCTTTAAACTTTTCTAATTCGATGTGAAAATTTGATGGAAGTCTTTTCACTTTGCAGCACAATGTATACACGAATCGCGAAATTCGGACAAAAATCACAGTTAAACTTAAGGAAAAACATGCAGCTATGACTGGATGATTTAAAATATGCGTATTTAAGTATTCAAATGTTCACTCATGATTACATATTACTGTTCGGGATTTCTTGGCCTCCAAAAGAATAGTATCCCAAAACAAATCACATAGATATAGTTTATTAGCTTTTCTCAGTAGTTTTAAATACACGCCCTGTCTTCGACCCAAAAATATAAAGTGTCTAAAAATATGTAAACAAACGCCACACCATCGCTCGATGTGACGTAGTAATCTATCACTTCCGGTTTCCCATTTCCGGACATTACTACAATACAACACGAATACACCACTGAACATTTCAAGACTTTAATACGCATATTTTAAATCATTCAGTCACAGCTACATGTTTTTCTTTGAATTCGGGCTTTGCCCCACTCAGAACGCGGCATTTTGGATGCGCAATTTCGCGATTCGTGTATAGACGAACGAAATCATTGCGAGTCCGTATGAAAATGGCATTCTTTCCAAGGTTTTTATGGAATAAATAGGTCGATAGCATTGTTGCCGACGTCATTTGCGTGGGCAAGTGTAATTGGCGGAAAATATTTTCCTCACGTATAGTCTATATGTCGAATGTTCATAGTTGGCTTAGATGTAACAAGCTCACGCTAAACGATAGCAAAACGGAATTTATGATAATTGGCTCTAGACATCATCTTACTAAATTTGAAGACAACCCAGAGATTTCATTAGCCATACGAGATAATAATATTAAACGGGTCACCAATAAAAAATCTCTTGGTTTTATCATCGACGATCAATTAAAGTGGGGTATACACATTGACGCACAATGTAAAAAAATCTCAAAAATATTGCATTACTAAGAAGAGCCAAGTCCTTTGTTCCTTTACACATTCTAATCAAAATGTATAATGCTCTAGTATCTCCTCACCTGACATATTGCTCAACAATATGGAATGATGGGTCTAATACCATTCTTAACAAACTCTCTAAGTTACAAAGAAGAGCAGCTCGGGTTATCACAGGACAATCATACGATGTTCGTTCCACTCAAATACTAGAAAGTCTCAATTTGATGCCAATTGAAGACATTTTAAAGAAAAGAGAAATCATTATGACGTTTAAAGCTTTAACTTTAACTAACAGACTACCTGATTATGTGCAGAATTTCTTCACGAGATGCGAAAATAGTAATTATTCTCTAAGAAGCAATAATGTTAAACTATCTTTGCCTAAACCAAGAACCAACTTTCTTAAAAGAAGTTTCTCTTATAGAGCAGCACAAGGGTGGAACGAATTATCGGATGAAGTAACTAATAACATTCAGGATTTATCTTTACCCAATTTCAA